GCACGCACGCACGCACGCACGCCTGTTTGTGCACAGGTCTATGACAAAATGCATGTAGTCATGTAGTCGTATTGACACGGGCATCCCTGCTTTGACTTGACTTGGCGAGTCTCCGAGAACCCTGCCTGTGCCCACCAAGGAGACTCTTGCCAAGGAAAGTCCCGAGGACGTCCTCACTCTCAGGTCTATGCCAGCTCGCCACCAGGGAGCCCGAAGGTGTCGCTTGCCAAGGCAAGCAGCATGACCATCTCGCAATCTAAGGCCGCCAAGTGCTTCGCCTAAGCTTTCTGACGCAATGTCACGATCGAATGCTACACCGGGAAATGCGCTCGCCGCGAGGGCGGTGTCAAGCATGGGACGTCTGGATCGAGGCTTGCTTGCTCATCAGCGTGCTCGCCCGGGAGCTGTCCTGCAAATGTGCAGATGTATGATGTATCTCAACAGGTCGCCGCATGCTGGCTGGTTTTGCGATTGTAGCTCTCAGATTACCTAGGACCTAGGACTTTGATGTCTTGCGGGTCTCTCAAGAATGCGGTATCCCTTCAACGCGTAGGCCAGGAGGCCCATGATGAGCCGGCTCAATTACCTGCCTTCTCCCAGGTCAGACCGCTCAGGGAGGACTATCCATCCTGGCTTGCCGCCTAAGAAAATCTCAGGTGGTCCAACGTAGCATGCACAAGTTGTATGCCTTGTGCAAGCATGATGCAGAAGCTCTTGTCCGGATAGCCACTTCGATTTCGCGCTTCTTCCGAAACAAGGTAATCTCTGATTGGTACTTTCGCCTCGCTGGCACCTGGCCAACTCCAGTCAACATTCAGAAGTTTGTCACACGGCCCAGGCGCCAACCAGAATCTGAGAGTCGAGCCCGGCTGAACTTTGGCCGGCGCTTTCGCCTTTTTGGCCACCGTGGGCTTGGCTCTGGCTGCCAGCAAAGAAAGCAGCATCCGTGAACCGGCCTTAGCTTAGCTTAGCTTTGCTTTGCTTCGGTTGAGGCAGGAGCTGCTCAAGTTCCAAGGCGCATCGGCTGCTCCCTGGTCCTTTGGGAAGTGCTCCACTTCAGACGACGTCTTCATCGCAACCTTCTCGCAGACTTGCAGACGTGACACGATGTGGAAAGGGAAAACACAGCCACGTCACGCGGTTTTTGCTGCGAAGGAGAGATGTGAGGAAAGGCGCTGATGCAGGCCGATTGAGCACGACCGTGCCTTACGTTACGTCAGTTCGCCCGTCATGCTGATGCCTTCATGCGAGACAGTGAGGGTCGACTTCGTGGATGCTCGGGGGCGTTGCCAAAGGGTAAAAGCATCCCTCCATCTGTCGCTCTTCTTGTGCCCCTTCCCTCGGTGGTTACCCTCCCCCTCCTTTCCTCTGCGTATGGCCCGCAGAGCACACGCCATTTCGAGCGCATTGCTTGTGACTTCTCTGTCCTCACATCTTCGTGCAGCCGAATCTCTCTCGAGACATGGAAGGAGAACGACTCTGCAGCATTTCACGAGGTTCATCCCCCGAACGCAGAGCCAGCGAGGGTTTTCGCCGTACCTTGCCGCAACGGTATCAAGCAATTGATATGGCATCACTTTGCAAGCAGCTGAGGCCGAGTCTGCTCCTGAGTGACATCTCTTTGATTTGTGTGCAAGAAGTTGCAGCTTGACAGAGCAGCTGACACCGTCCATGATCTTGAGAACAAGCGGCGGTGAAGATACGCAGGAGCAAGCTCTGAACATCTGCCAATCCCGGGCTGTAAGAACCGTTGATGTCCACGGCCAGGATTTGCGCGGCTTTCCGCTTCTTCTTCGGGCGAGCAGTCTCCTGGATGGCTTGGGAAAAGGACATGTTGCTGCAGTCTTCCGGAAGAGTCTAGGAGAATACATCAACGACACACCAGGGCAAAGATACCCAGGGAGAACGCGTAGCTCTCTTGCAGCCAAAATACCCAACCTTAGCCGTGCAAACAGGACGGGTACCTGGATGCTCGAAGCCCCGCAAAAAGCCCGTCTTCGCCTCGAACTGCGAACAAAGTGCCTTCCTCGACTGGCCGCTTGACGTCTCCTTTGGAATCGTCTTCCGCCATGGCTTCAGGTCGCGGAGTCTTATCACCCACTCCTTGGCCGCTTTGCACATGTGTCATTCCTTTGCTGGCTTCCTCCTGTATCTCTTGTCATGGGGGCCGAGACGACTTTGGGCCCACTTGCGGGACTGGGGCGGGTGAGCGACTAGTCTCTGCAACTGACAGCCAGTGATCGCCATCTTTTTGGACAGCATGCCAACATGGATTAGGTACTCCGAAACGACCATCATCTTGATGGGCGTGCTACTGATCGCCTTGCAAGCAGCCTTCAGCGCTTGAAGGAGTTTGTTTCTGCGTCGTGCATTCTTCTACAGAACCCAAATAGTTTGGGTCTGAAGTAGCAAGATGTATGGTACAGGTCCTTGTTCTGAGCTGACTCCGCCTGGGCGCCCAAATGCGCCCAGTTAGTGTAAGGTACCCAGTTCACCGGGGGTCAACCCGTCCGGAAGCGAGGCGCTGTCACTGTCCTCAAGGCCGGGCAGCTGTATGTCCGAGACCCGATCCACTTGCCGCCGTCGCGGTGCTTCCACTTGCACTGGGGACAGCATCGCCTTAAGGCTGGAAGAAAGCAGGAAGCCAACAGCTTATGGCTATGCGGCTATACTCTCCTAAAGCAGGTCTCAGACTGTTTAGGCTTTGCCTTGAGCGTTCCCAGTGGCGCTTTCTGGTGTGGCACTCGGGGACGACGATGGCAGATTGTCCGAGGAACGGGTCGTAAGGCTCTCGGCGCCCTCCTCCGGGATCTCTGTGTTTTCCGAGATCGACAGGTCAAAGAAATCCACGCCTGGCAACTCGGAGTCCTTGAGGTTCGGTGCACCCAGGACCCTAAGAGCATTAGCTGCAACAATCGGTGGCACAAGCCTCGAGGAAAGACAGTAGGCGAGTCGCTTGCACCAGTTATTCAGACGCTCTGTTGTTCCAGCCGGCCTGAATCTCTGGGCGAAGGGCACATGGCAAAAGTAGGTCTTGTAGCTGCTGCCAAGATGACTTTTCACCAGGTCGTGGAGCCCTTGTCGTAGGTGGGCGAGCCGTCTCGATGCCCGCCAGGCTAACCAGGGTTGGGCGGTCAACGAGGCGTCCTCCGTCTTGTGCGCATAACCTGCACCTGCATGACTTGCCCGCCAAAGGGTGCATTCGACATTGTAGAAGAGATGCCGTCCAGAAGAGCTATGACCGGCGATGATGATCCGCAGCTCAGGAAGTGGACCCTTCTGCCAGTCAAGCGGAGTGTTGGCCAAGAACCCGAAGGGCTCAAGGAATGCTTGCACTTCGCGACCGGTCAGCAGGGGAGGCAGCTCACAAAACTCCTCCTCGTCCACTGTCCCGTTGAAGGGCATTTCAGGCCAATTTCTATAGTCTTTTCCTGCTGTAGTTGTAGAGCATCTCACTCGGCTTGTCAGTTTGGTGGTTAAGTACCAATGGCAATTCAACGGTCGTTCGCAAGAAATGTGTGCACTACAAAACTTCGTGGGTGTTGTCAATGAACGTTCTGTATCTCTGCGAGGGGCCAGACCCAGTCACAGAACAAACGCTGATGTCGTGGAAGCGGTGTCACTCAGGCTGCAGACTACAGTTGACTCCGAACTGCAGTGCCGGGCTGGGGTCCGAACAATGCAGTAGTACATGCTGACATACACGAATGTCCTGGCATGTTTGCAGAGTGACGGCATTCGTCAGCCTCCAGACTCGTACTCCTCGTGCCTCAACAGCACCAACACGGCTACTACGAGGTAAATCTTCATACGGCCCTCAGCTTGGGATTATGCTAGAGTCAGCATTCCGTCGGTTCCGAACGTTGTTAGGTGTGAATGTGGTAGGGTCAGAGCTTCTTTGAGAGCTCCACATTCTCCTGTGTGAGGTCTCCACGCATTGGGTCGGCCTCTGTTTTCCTGCATTCCCTCCTTTAGGTCACGCGGGGTTTCCCTCTTTCCTTTCTCTGTCACCCCTGCCTGCCTCACAGATACAGCAATCAGACCAAACCTGGCAAGGATGCAGCAGCGCCCAATCGAGGGTTTGCACCTGAACGTTCAGCCCGGAGGTATTGCGGAAACTCTCCGGCGGAGACTTCTTGTGGATTGGCTGCCGCAGTAGCAGTGCAAAGACATACTCGTCTTGACAACGTGACATAAAGACTCAATTCAAGCCCATGGAATGCAGGGATGCTCAAAACGAATGATTCTGGCAGGGAAGACCGAGACCTCTCTCTTGACTCTTGAGACGAATCTGAGTTTCGGACTAAGGTCCGTCCCAAGAAGAACGAAGCTCGATTGAGCCCATGACTGGCCTCACGCCAATACCTCGCCAACGTCTTGGGTCTCCACTTGGCGATTGCTTCAGAGATGCGCTGTCACGCGGATCGTCATTGAACTCGATCATTGGACATGCATCCAAACGAACCGCTATCCCTAGAGCCCAGCTGCATCTCCTGGTCGAGGCCTCAGAGGAAACTCCGTCTCTCTGGGATCTGCAGACAAGACTGAGCTGCTGAGCTGGCAGCTGAAGAGCTGCAAAGAATAGACGGACACCAGCAGCCTCATGGATGGCATCAAAAACGTTTACGCTGTCGCTTCGCTTCTTTCGAGCCGCTCAGCCACTCTCTTCGTAGCACGGTCAGGCATTGTGGGCGCCCGGCGCCAAGGCAATCTGTACATTCAGGAATCCAGTTGGACTCCATCTCGGTGTCTTGAACACAACGACATCCATTACACCTGCCAGTCTCGACTCTGCTCTTGTTCTGTTCAAGTCAGCCCGGCCTAAAAATCCAGCCGCAAATATCATAACCACCAGGAATAGCATTTTGATGCCCTTGGCTTTGCATGCTTCAAGGCACTCTTCACGGCACTGACCCTTCCGTGCATTTCCGTGATTCAGTGGTACCTGTACCGATGCAAGAGCGGATAGCTGTTGCGGCCGAATGTCCATGGTGCGCCAGAAAGATATCAAGGACCTCAGGAGGTTATAGTAATGAATCTGCTACAGGTTCTCGACTTGTAGCACGCCGCGACTCAGCACGGTAAACGATGCTATGCATATGCCATGCTAACAATGTGCCGCGCTGCTTCGCACTGTAGTGCGTTGCATTAGAGTGAAGGCACGATTTATCGGTCGTGTTCCTGCAGTCTGGTTCCACAAGACCACGCAGCCCGACTTCGTGCATGAGCATCCACCAGAACACGAAGTCTTGACTTGAGAACTCGACGTCTGCACCGTGCAGTTCAAGTGGCCGCAGAACCTGTGCTTAAATTCTAATTCATCCTATGCGGAAGTCGGAGTCTGAGCTGCCGGCCCAGGCTGGGTCCGCCGAAGCCCATCAGCCAGGAGTGGCTTTGATTTGTCTGCAGGCTGTGCACGTTAGCATCGGCGAAGCTCTTGGAAGACCGTTCTACGATCTGTGACGTAACGCTGACCAGAGGCATGGCATGTCATCGCGGCAAGTGGCTAAATGCATGGCCTCGAAGAAGCCCAGGGCATATGCCACACCGCTCCTCTGTCAGCACGTTTGTTGCTGGCATAGATGTGATTGTCACGCGCCTCGTCCACAGAATCCTCACTCCCTGAGCTGGACGAGTCGCCAGTGTCAGTGTCGGTACTGTCACCTGGTCCTGCAAAGTGTGCCACTGTCGCATCCCCATACACCTGGAGATGCAAAGAGAGTCCGATTCCTCTTCTTCGCGCGTCATCCTGCAAAGGAAATATGCTTTGGATACCAACGGAAAGAAGAGTGTTTGCTCAACGCTCGGTTCCTTCAAAGTTAGGCCTCTGAAGGAAACCAAATAGTTGCTGAAGGCTCGCCTCGGGACTTCGTTTTGAGGCACTGCCTAAGACTGAGTGCAGAAGAAAAGACAAGGCAGCTGCATGGTTATGTACGGTTGCCCAGAAGATTCCTGGAGCGAGATGTACGCTGACATGAATATGCATGCTCTGCAAGTACTCAGAGCTTTCTCTGAAGTGGAGGAATCTGGACGTACCAGTCCTAGCGAAAGCCTGGAGTGCTTCGGTCTGCTGACTGCGAAAACGCTGGACTGTTTCACATATACGCACCGCACACGGAAAACGACTTTGCAGTTGAGCTTTCTCGATTTTCCAACCCAAGCCACGAGGAGGACAAATTTCTCCACAACTTGTGGCATCTTGCTTCATCAAAAGGGGTAGCTGTAGAAACTTTAGTGTCTCAGCGCATGAAAGGAACGAGGAGAAATCCGTCCCAAGATGTCCGAAGCTTTGCAAGGGTTGGCTGATATTGCCCCATCGTGCTGCTCCATTGCCATTATCGAGTGCTTTGAGACATACCGGTGGCGCAACTTTGAACCTGCGCACACACGCCTGTCAGCTTTCGCTTCCCAAGATCGATTCGTACGGTTCTTTTCTTGAGATGGCGCGAGAAGGCGCGGCGGCAGGAGGCCAGGCTTCTCCACTTTGGGATTCAAGCCTGCAGTCCTGCAGGGAACGAAGGCGATTGTGGTGCTCCTGTCGCCCGCGCAAGCACACACCAAGTCATGGTCGTCGGAGGGGTCCATGACCCCGTCGCACAGTGGACACGGCAGAAGATCACAAGCAGTATCTGCAGGGAGACTGATGCTTCCACCATGCAGCGCCGAATGGAACCGGTCAGTCTGTGTGCGGATGTCCAGTCTTGCAACCGTTCAGTTCAGAAGCCTAGTGTTCAAGTGGATCATCTCGGGATTTTTGCCACAAGTCCGTGCAGCTGCGGATGCATTTTTTACGAGTAGCCTGAGGTTCAGTCTGTATCTCTTGCAATGGGTGTACAGTATACCAGTTGACAGGAGCTTGTCTGCCAACCCAGTCTCAACCTCCCTAACCTGATCGGAATGTAAGCCTTGCTTGCCACCCTTTGGCGAGGCTCGCACGTCGTTCAGGTAGAGGCTGCTGTTGTGCCGGGTCTCGTACGCAGATGCCCGCCTTAGCAACGTGCAAGCTTTGTTGAAGCACACTGTCACTGCAGCTCTGCACTTTGACAACACTACACCGCATTGCCAAGATTTGCAGTGTGGCTCGCTCATGTTCTCTCAACTGATGTCTAGCCGGAGCGGAGGCTTCCGTCAAAGGTGCTGGGTGTGAAATGTGCGGTGCAATCAGTGACTAGATGACCGGGGCCGATCTTGTGAGCATTTGCTGTCGATGTCAGTTGAGCAGCAGTGCTCTTCTAAGCACCTATGAGGAAGAATTGCTGCAAGCCTTAAGTTTCAGAACTTGAACCGAGAGGTCGCGCTGCCTTCCTCTACCAGTTGCCATCGCTTGGCCACGTCAGTTTGGATTTTGGATGGGGATCATTTCCACACGCAGGCTCTAGCACTCTCATGCGAATGCAGATCCTAAGATTCTGTGATTCTGAGGGGGTCTACCCGGCTACCGATAGTCTAAGCGCTGGGCTTCATGATGCCGCTCACAATGTCAGGCTCTGGGATCGCCCTTGGCGAACATTCCGACGACATTCGGGCAATGCCGTGGGCTCAGCTCAGCACCCCAGGCAACTTTTGAGGACCTGCAGACGAGGACGCTTCACGCTGAAGCCTACTACACTGTCAACGTGCTCGGACACAAGCAAGCTCCAACTTCCAAGTCAATGCGAGTGTGGTTGGTACAGCCATTGCAAAGCGCAGCTGAACAAAAACATGTTCAGTTCCAAGCATTTGGGGATTCTTCTGTCACCTTCAGAGATTGCTCCTCGATGTTCCTTAGCTCCTTCCGACTGTGCTCGGGGGATTGCTGTAGTTTGGGCAGAGCTTTCACCCACCACAGGGCACAAAGCAGCCCGGTAGACAATCGGCCTGAATTGCAAGTTCCCAAGACGCTTGCTTGCAAGGTTGAAAGAAAGTGGTGTACGGCTGCGAGTCACAAGCCTTTCCGGCAGATATGACCGTGGTAACAACCACACATGGCCCCTAAACGGTCGTGACATGTTGCATGCCTGCGCAAATCCGTCTGCTTCAAGTCGAACGTGTGGCGGCGCAACTGCACTCCAAGCATCCTGAAGGCGCAGGGCAAAGCAATTAGCTCTTCCTACGTGCTCACACCACCTTGCAATGTTGGTGAATCATTTGGAACTCTTCGTCGTTGTCTGCCTTGTCGTAGGCACTCATTCCTGTGCGGGGCACATCGTCTTGCACTCCTGCGAACCTTCTCACACCAAAGCATACCAAAGCATGACCTCGACGAAAGGTAACTTTTCCTTGTGGCACAGGTAGTTCGTTCCACCTGCAGGCGCCAGTGCCATGCTCAGCATAAGGTCCACGGCAGCATGCCAATCTCATGAGGAAAACATGCAGGCTCGACTCAATGGCTAAAGAGTGGGGACACTCGTGTTCAAAAATGCTCACTGCCAATGTCAATATCTTTCCCACGAAGAGATGTGAATCGCTCTCGTCGCTGTGCTTTGCATTGCGAAGTGAAGAGATCTGCCACTGCCACAGATCAGCGGCTGCCTCTGGAAAAGCGCAGCAGGTATTTCTGAGATTGGAATCCTGCAGCACCAGACACGCAGGAGTCGCGTCACATCTACTGAAGAGCCTGGCTTGAGTTCAGGCAAAAGGCGCACGACCATGCAAGGAGCTGAGCCTTCATGGGCCAGAAAGCGCTGTTCGGGTTCTACCCCAAAGTACTTCTCCTGCAGTTGCTCTGGTCCAAATTCTGCCCGCTAAGTATGTCCATCCTCAGGTTGGGGCAAAAGAGACAGTTCTGGATAACGGCGTGAGGGTTTTCTGGCAGATCACAAGAAGTAAGGACCGAACATCCAGTCTGCCGGATTCCAATTCGCCGGCATGTCCAGACCTGGTTGAGCAATGACATTAGAAACAGGTCGCCGTAGCTTGCAGCCGTTGCTGTTGCATGCAGATTGAGGTCGGTCCTCCCTCTGGAACCACAGGAACGGTCGGAGACGCGAGATAGGAGGAGATATGTCGCGTCACCGGGATTCTCGCTGGTAGTTCCACCCTGTTATGTACTTCGACTGTAGCATTGGACTTCATCAAGATCTCACAGCGGAGATTTTGAAGCCGACAATATACGGTTAACATCAGGAAAATGGTAGACATTGTGGGTTTGAGCAGTTAAGGACTCCGAGGACCAACACCAGACCTGCCGCCACGAGTCAGGACCGAGCACATGGAGCCATCGACAAAGGGTCTGTATCATTCAAGAGAACCCAATCGTTCTGCCCCTCGGGTCACCTTCGGCCTCGGGCAGAAGGCTGCCTTTTGAATTTCCGCGCATCGGACAAGGGCTTTTCAAGGCCGCTGAGATTGGATGAGACGGCGCTGAGGAAGGCGTAAGGCCAGCACCTAAGGCTTGGAAGTGCTCCTTTGCCTGCACGGTCGGCCTCAGCCCAAACGGCTCGACTGCCGGCTCCAAGCCGAAGCCTCGCCTCATCAAGTATTTCAGGAACCTGGCCCCATGTAGGCAAGGCGACCGCCCATTTTCTCGAGAGTTCCCAGCCTAGCAAAGAAGCAAACACCATGCAGCTAGTTTGCAACTGCTGCTATGTGCTGCCCCTTTCTGGGACAGGGTCAGTAAGACATCATCAAGCAAAGTGAAAAGGTCATAGCGCCTCAACAAAGATTTCGCATGTAAGGCTTGGGGGCAGCAGCTTCACAAGGCGGTTTAGTGCACGACGGCTGATGGATCACCATGACGATGGTCACACCAAGTCTTGCCCTCGAGAATCAAAGAGAATTGTAATCCCCACGGACTGCGAGGGTGACGACTCGAGGCAGCAGCATTCTCTTGAGCTGCTGGACAAGCAACAACGAAGCCGTTGCATCCTGCCGCCACGGCTGTGCAGCCAACGGCACAGCCAGCCAACGACACAGCACGGCCCTTTGAAAGCGAGTCCAGGCCGGAGGTGGGCTCGTCCAAGAACTTGGGTGCTTTAAGGCTGCCCTAAAGGCTTCTCTCCCTCCAAATTCCAGAATTCCTCCCGCCCGTTGGTGCCCGGCGAGAATCGTCGGACAAGCGGCCAGCTCGATGCCGACGTTGACACGCTTCTTCCTTGGTTCGAGTCTCTTGTGAAAGACGCTACAGCCGCTGCATGCTTCGGTGTTGTACAGTTCTTGGGAGGCTACTGGCCACCACTCAAGCCCTCTCCGGTTCGCGTGCGGTTGCCGACCTCAAGGCAACCATGAGTGAGCCTTCTCTACGGAAGCGTGATCAATCATCACATCCGGTCGAGCATGAGCGCTCATGCGTGCCACATCCCTCAGAAGAGCACCAGCAAGTTCTGCTTTGGCTCGAGCTGAAGCACCTCGGAAGGCCACACTTAATGCCGACCAGCCAGTGTCACCGTCTCGCATCTATGCTGCCTGGAGAACATCATTGGTGATCGCCCGGAGCCTCAACAAATTGCACCGCGCAGGTTCTAGTGTAGCACCTTAGCATGTGCGGCCTCGAACGGGAGGTGTGAGCCGGCATGCGCTTCGCTGCGGAGAAGAAGATGTTCTCTCGGACTGTCAGCCTGCAGAGATTGTTATGCTTCGAATATGGTATGGCTGCTTCTCAATGCTTATATGCCAACAGCTGCTTGCGCTGTTGTCATCAGAAATCAAAAGAGGCCAGCTGTCACCATCCATCATGCATCCAGAGACCGGACGGCATCATGCACGTCATCAGTACCTGTATGGCGTTCTGAATTCAGAAGACTGAGTTCGTCACCCTTCATGGACCACGTCGTCCTCACAGGCATCGGTAGAGCATGGTAGAAGTGTTTTGGGAATTCCAGCAGCTCTCCTGATTCTCGAGAGCCAAGCTACTGTCTAACTTGTGATGTGACTTCTCCTGTGGGACGAAGCCGATGATCGGCTTGATCGTCTCAATGTCGATCTTCTGGTTGTTTATGAGGATGTCGCCTTCCGGAAAGAGGGTTTCATCATGGAAGCACGGTCTTGTGCTTCAATCAACCAGAACTCGACGAATCTGCCTTTGACGGTCCATTTGGAGTCTGTCTTCTTCTGTGGCATGGCAGTGGCATGGGAGTGTCAGTCTCAGGTAACTGGAGTGTGGTCGCGCCTGGCCTTCCCTGTTAGAACATCGAGAAGGGTACTCTTGCCGCAGCCAGATGGACCTAAACATGCTGCAGACATAGCGCTAGGCAAAGCTCATGACTTTAACATCCGTCCTAGTGGCCCATGACGGCCGAGAGGTGGTAAGCCTCGAATTTTCCGGAGATCTCGTCAAGGATTGGTCTCTGCTCGCTGCCCTTAGTCAAACGGCAGTGGTATGTTCAGCAACCATGCTTCCCAAGGCTCGCACGGCCAAAACGCTGCAAGAGATGCTATTGAACTCCTCGCGAATGTTGCAAAACGTTCATGTACAGAGTCAAGGGTGCCGAAAGAGACTGTCCAGAGATGCGGTCTGCAGCTTCTTGGTGATGCCTTAACATCCAACTCAGGGATATCAACATTTGCAAATGAACTGCCTAAATGCCACTAGGAGACCGCGGAATCTGTTCTCCTCGAGTTTCTGGATGCTGAAATTCTTCAGGATTGCTTTCAAGCACCTGATGTGCAAGCTCGCCAACGAGCGCACTTTCTGTTTGGATCTTGAGACATGGGCTTGTCGGTGGTCTTGATTCTCTCTAGATCCTCCTCCTTGGCAGGATGCAAGGATGAATCAGCTTGCATGCGACTGAGACAGAACAAGGTTGGACTGTTTTGATAGCCTTTGTCATGAGGTGGTCACAGTCGCTGTGCTCCACTGCTGCGTCGTCAAGCTACGCGTCCACGTAGGCTCTGAGGTTCAACATGAAGTTTATTCGGTCGACTGTAACACTGTAAGACTCGCACAGCCACTCTGTCCCTGTCACGGACAAATCTCTGATATAAGAAGATGCCGAAGACCAAAACGGCCTCGACAGAAGCAACAAAGCAGTTGTTGATGGTTGAGAACCATGACCATGCCGTATATCCTTTTTTACATTCACGAGTCTTCTGCGCAAGCACTTCTGCAGGCTGGTCACTGATAGGAGCAGAAGTAAAGCCATCTCCACTTGGCTGGATTTGCCCTCAGGGACAACGCATTCCCTGTCTCCGCCTGGACATGGCAGGGATCCCTCAGCTGCCGGCCACTTTGTGACGAAGATGGCCTTCGGGAAAGCTTGAGTCATTCAAGGGTGCGTGCGTGTGTGTGTGTGTGTGTGACGCGTGCAGTATCGCAATTCTGGTGCTCTGTCGCCAAGCGACCGTCAGTGTCAGACTGTGCCAAAGCCACCCCAGCAAAAAGGAGGGGCAACCTGCACCAGTGGTCTTCCTGGAATTTTCCTTTCTTATAGAAGCCTCGCCGCCTTGACGTAGCCATGGCGTCAACTATGGGTCTACAGTTGGAAGGCGCGCCCTTCCAATCACAAAGGCCCCATGCTCTAAAAGCAGCTTGGTCCCTCGAGCCGGAGTGCAAACAACATTCGTCAGTAGGCAATCCTGCTACACTTGGCCTTCACGTGCACAATGGCAAGGCCTCTTGCATGCAAAAATGCCACAGCCTCCAGCCTGTCAAGGAGGGCGATGCTTGGGCGACAGTTTGTCATGTCAAGCTCAAGTCCCTCCAAGGACGCTGCAACTGCTTGAAAAAATCACGGATCTCCTGGCACCGTTCCCCATTCGTGGCGACCGGGAGAGACAGTCACGGACGCTGCGAAGAAGCGTTGCAAAGCATCAGTGCAGCTGAGTCTCAGGAAGCGTGGGCGAGCAGGAGGCCCAGAACTTAGCTGCAGGGCGACGCTGCCTAAACTCAGACCGGTCCAGACAGTCCGGAAGTTCCGAGGAGCGGTCTTGGAACGATCTTGCCATTTTGGTCATCACGATGTGGACCCAGTCACCCGTCACCTTTTCTCACGAAATCTGTACACTCAAGGCTTGGAGTCTTGCACACTGTAGGGGCACGGCCTCCACCTCCAGAAGTCGCACGAAGGAGCTGTGCCGCATCCGGGCCAGGCTTTGCAAAAATGCCACCTGCTTCCAGCGTCGGCTGCCAACTGTTAACAGAGCTGGGGTCTTGTCGTGTTCAATGTGCTTGGCCTCTCGAACAACGCTAGGTACCAAACCATCATCGCACGAGGCGTTCATGTGCCTCGAAGCAAACTCTCTCAAACAGCTGTCCATATACGATATGCCACGAACTAGATGTGCAGGTTGCGGATGCACATGAGCCCCACACCTAAGATTGACACATCGAACAGCCACTTCCTCCAAACCAGTCGTAACAGGATGCGAACCAGAAACACACCATCAGCTCGTCCTGTTTGCGAGTTCCGAGAAGTATGCCGGATCTCATGGATCCCCGAGATCTGAGCGCAGTGGCTTCAAAACTCTGCTTGAACCACATGCATTATGGAGTAGTCCACTTGGCTCAAAACCTGCGTTCGCAGATCTTGCTCTTCCACACTATGCGGTCCATCACACCTCGATGACGGGTTAACTTCACAAGGCAGTTCTGACGATGAAGAGCTTGATGGCTTGGCCGCAGGCGAAGGCGTGGCGAAGCAATATGCCACAGCTCCGTGGAATCCACAAGACGACGCCAGGCTACACAAGCCTCAAGTATTACAAAGTGATAAACACCTTGAGGCGATGCGCTGTGAGCTAACATCTTGCCCGGCAAAAGATCTGGTGTATCTGCATGTATCTGCGCGTATCTACCTGTAGGGTATGGTCAAGGAAGAACCTGCTCCCTTAAAAACTCTTCTACCGCCGCTCTCCCTCTTTCGTTCCCTGCAGCCCTCTCCGGATCAACATGGCATGCAAAAGGCTCTGGGCTCGGAACCGCAGCAGCAGGCAACATGTCAGAAACCTTCACGCGGCTCTGGCTTGCACAGTGCCGTGTAGTACATAGAATTCACGGCTTTACCTGACTGGCGTGTCTAGGATGCCGAAAGTCTGCAGAGAGCGACCACTCACATATTCACACATGCTGCACGATGCGAGAGCCTGCCTTCAGCAATGCCAGGCTTTCGACTAGGGCCACGTCGCAAAGCGTGCCTTTGCAAGACCTGTGGTCTTCGGCCTGAAGGTCGGTATGACGTGCTGATAGATAACGGAGGCTTCAGCTTTCGGTTCAAGAGTTGCTCTTCAAATCTTCTGCTTGAAATTGTCCGGCCTGGTCACGGGGTGCTGTCAGAATCTGGGTCGATGCGCGTTATCGTGGTGACAACAACCGGGGTTACTTCTGGAACCTCCAGTGAAATGTTTTTGGTGATTGCCGAGGCGCAGTGAGATCACCCTTTGTCGAATCACATTCGTCTCCGAAAGCTAAATTGAACTCATTGGATGACTCGTAAGACTGGGGCCCTGGGGAACTGAGGAGTTGTGGAGTTCTGGAACAATGCCTGGAGTCACACCGTTACCGGGTCTCCGAAGTCACCGAACTAGGCTTTCCGGAGTCTTCAAGACTGTGGACGTGCGTGAGTGGGGTGGAGCTAAAAAACGTATGGACAGCTGCTGTTCCATTGAGGTATGTTTCGGCACAGCACACTCACTCCGAAAAAGAGATGGCTCTCTGATCAGCCGTCCTGAGACTGAACAGGCAGACGAGCTGTTGCTTTCTGATCAATCTTGTCGTCTATGCCAGTCTATGCAGTACGAAAGAAGCTGGTAAACCGCGGAGTCTCCGTATAAATAGGTGGCAAACAAGCTATGGAAAGTAGATTGCCTTGAACAGAACTATGCAAGCTTCGTGAGCCTGCCGAAGCCTTGCCCCCGGATTTGTTCTATAGCGACTCATGAGGCTTGTGATTGAAGAAATATATTCAGGGATGGCCATAAAAGAAGGAGCTACATCAAGCAACAGGTTGCATGAGGAAGTGGTCGACGGGTCGTTTATAGACAGCTGCGAGCATTTTTCAGAGCTTGCAGTCAGGCATCACCGATAGCATGGTAGCTACATTGTCTAGCTGCCATTGAAATTTCAAACCCGCGAATGGGAACTTTTCTGCAACAGGCACAACGTAGCTCAGGGAAAGCAACATAATGAAGACCTGAGTAAGGCTAAAGGAATCATGGCTTGGATGACCAGAGGGTCGGTCATCATTGTGATGTGTTCTTCTGGAGCTGTAGTGTAGCTGATGACTGTCAAAAGATCCACACCCAAAACCAGGCTTGTAGGAATCATGATGGCATGAGCTTGATATCAAGATTTGAGATAGTTGAACATGTGATAGACTTAGCCTGTACATGGGGCTACAACTGTTCAGGGATGCTACTGAATCTACTATCACGAAACGCTGTCTCAAGCTGCTGGCGTTGTTTCTCAACTTGGGATCTACATAAACCAATCCTATAGCGAATACCTGTTCAACTCTGGAAGTCTGTTGAGAGTTGAGGTTGGGGCCCTTATGGGCCCGTTTTGCTTACCAACGTGCACTTGCTGTGGTCAGCATCTTGAGGAAATCAAGAAGTAAACACTCCGTACGGTTCAGGTCCTGGATTGTGAAAATGAGTGCGTGTAGGATTTCCAGACTTAATGAGATTTCATGGTCTGAAGGAATCCTTTGTGCGATTCGGGTGTGCTGTCCAAAGAGCGCCTTCCCGACTCGGACATGTTCTCGCCAATTCGAGGCCCAAGCGCAAGTGGTGCGCTGCAAGGCCAGTGCGCAGAACAGTTCCGGTGACCGAATGAAGACAGACAACAGTGTGTGACTAAGCCAGCCCCAAGAACGGGAAGCAAGACTCCGAAGAAGTCTCCGGCAGTTTCGAGAAAACCAAGAATTTTTTTTATCCCGAAGCGGGCGACGCCGATCTCAAAACTCCTGGGGCCGAGCTGAGGAGGCGGAAGCCTTCGTTTCAGGCTCGGACCGGGAAAGGAGCCGAGAGCGGAAGCTCTTGCCTTGGTGCGCCGAGATATGCGCCCATGAGGAAATTGCAAGGTGGGTCGACACTGAGGGTCTCCTGCCTGGCAAAACCAGCTTATGACGGGGCCTGGGGATGTCATCAGGGTGTATAGTCTTCTGAGCCGGCTGCCCCCGCTTCAGCGATTCATGAGGGCAGCCTCCACGGCGAAGGAAGATTGACAGGCACTGGCATGCTGGCATCTGCAGAGACCGCGCCTTGTTCTTGTCGCTTCAAAGGGCGTGGCAGCCTGACGTGAACACCCAAGGTAAACAGTGATTTTCGTCGTCCACAAGGCAGCCCCTTATAACTGGCCGGCAGGTCTTGTCCGGAGTTTCAACCTCCTCACATGGCAGGCAGTCGATGGGAGGCTGCCCGGAGTTTCAGTTGTGAGCTCTGCCAGCGCAGCCAGCGGGTCGAACTCCTGCCAGCATCGTGAGATCGGCACCTCACTTATGCGGCAACAGGATGTGCAGGCGAGGTACAAAACTTGAGGGGGCTATGTAAACATTATGTAGCAGTGGCGAATCAAGCTTCGCCCAAGTGCATTGAGCATCAGCGGCAATACGAATGCAGCCTGTGTCTGATCGGGAACATTTCAAATAATGTTTCGGGTGGCGTAGTCTGGAATGCCGGTATATGGCATTTTCAAGCTCGTGTGAGACCCCGTTACATGAACATGCAATCCGACACCAAAGCGAGCTCCAGACCAACATGCAAGATTGGTACGCAATTGCTGGGGAACCCTGTGGACGACGAATGTTTGTGAGTGTCTATTTATCTGTATAGTGTATATATGCGTGTATATATGTATATAGCCAATATAGTTATATACATAGATATGCGCATATCATTCATATATATATATACACACACATACATACATACATACATACATACATACATACATACATACATACACACACACAATATCTTATGGATCTTGTACATAAATGTACTTCCATACTTCATATACATGTAGACTGTATATCTAGCGGTGCGCACATACAGACATGCGGTTTTACACACATGCGTGCGTGCATGCATACATAAACACATGCACGCATACATACATACATATACATATACATATACATATACATATACATATACATATACATATACATATACATACATACATACAGACATACAGACAAACAGACAGACAGACAGACAGACAGACAGACAGACAGACATACATACAACCATACTAGTACCATACCATACCATACCATACCATAGAATACTATACAATACAATGCATAAATGCATACGTACATACATAAATACATACATACATACATACATCCATACATACATACATACATACATACACACACACACATACAAATATCCATCCATCCATCCATCCATATGTGCACCCATACATTCAGAGGCACTTACTGACATACACACATACATACATTTTAAACTGGTTTCGGTGGGGCGTCGCGGTTTTTCCGGCGTCGGCAGAAGGGTGCATTAGCCCTTTGATGCAGTTGCCACATGTGCAGCTCGGGTAGCGACTGGACGATGCGGCATGCCCCCGGCTGCAGAATGAGCGGGAAGTATGAGCGCCGGTCCACCGTGAGCCAAGTGCTCTTGGATTGGCGACAGGATCAACATCCAGTCTCTCGGGATGCTGTACATTCTAGCTTGGACCCCTGAAAGAGACCAATGTTTGATCACAACAAAGCAAAGCTCCAGCATGACGCTTTTTGTGTCCGGAGGCTGAATGGCAGGCTCAATCCCCTGGACAGAGATGAGCCCATCATTCGCAGAACGCTGGCACCTTCAGAGCGGTCTTTGGCGCGGAGCGCTCAGATAACGAGGTGACACAAACCTAGTTGCTCTGACGCCCGCTTGGCTTTGCGTGCTCTTGTGCTCTAGACTTGCTTCAGGAGACGATGCTGGACAAGTTGAGCAGACGCTGAGGTGCTGTCGTCATGCTTCGCTATTCCTCTCCAGTTCTTCTCACTGTTTTGTGGCAGTGCACTGTGCAAGATCAGCTCGCGGCTCTTGATGATCAGCCAATGCAGCTCAAGGGCTCTCAGACAGTCGCGCTAGTCGCCCGAGTCGGGGAATCCGGAAGGCCTAAGTGGCTTGAAGTCAGCCAAGGCGTCATGGTTTGATGGACAAGTTAATCGGGCCGAAGCCCCCTGAGCTTGCCTGCTAAGTAAGGTACAGTGTCATCCGGCAAAACGGGACAAGGAGCAGAAAAATCGCGAAAACCTGTGGCAAGATGCTTGTCCTGGCTGGCATCTGTCGGATCTGTCGTGGCTCGACAGGAACTCCTTTTATGTGCCTCCGACTGCAACCACAGTTTGAAGCATCGTGATGTTCCCGCATGGTTCTGCATGCACGCGTGCTGTACGAGTACTCGAAGGTGTGAATGTGGTTGCGTGTGTTCGTTGTGATGGCAGCTGTTGCGATTCGTGCGGACATTTCCAGGCACAACACGCTGTAAGTACAAGTTGCTCTGGTAGAAAAAAGCTCATCTAGAAAGGTATCCACTGGCGGCAATTCCAGGAGCCCTCCGGAGAATTCTAATCGACCTCACACACACTGCACACTGCAGACATGTGACGGAAGGCACTCAGTGCAAAATCTTTCCCAATTTATGCAACAAGTCTGACAAATCAGATCGCGCCCAAGATACACACAGCTTGTTCAACTCGAGAGGAGCACAGATTGCTATTCCTGCGTCGAGGGATCTCCCTGCCCTCATCAGACCATCTCAGACCAATCTCAGAGTGCAAGACTGCAAGAGCTGAGAACGAATTGAGGAGAGGAGGTCGGAGGGACATGGAGAAGACTCGGGTTGATCTGGCCATGCACTTCCCCCCGGAGCCGAGAAGTGCTGCTCACGTCTCAGCTCGTGGCTCAGGAGAAGATGCTCGCGATTTGGTCCTGGAATTCGGGCGCCACTCTCTTGCGCTGGCCTTGCGGTCTTGCGCTGGCAGGAGGCCGCACGAATCAGATCCTGCTGACTTCCGCTGAGCGCGCGGGGGAAAGTGACCTCAACTGCACAAGCAGATAAGGACGTCTTATTTGTACGGTAGGTTAGGAAGCCCAGGGCCTAAGGGCCTAGGAAGCTTCGTTAAGCTCTATTCTCCATTTCCACGTTCCGACTCTCAGCCCTTCAGCCACGCTCTTACCGCATCCCGTTCAAGCCACAGTTTCTCCGTAGTTGCAGTATAGCGCCCGAAACAGTATCATCTTTGGCAGTCAGGACTCAGAAGCCTGCTTCGACTTTGACGTACAGGTCACCGAAACTTGCAGGGTCCTGTGGACGGGACATAGTCACGACTCGAAGGCTCGCTTCTGGCTGAGAGGGCTGACGTCTCTCAGCGGCATACCCTCACCTCGCACCTTGCGTCGTGCGAGACTCGATGTTTCCAGGGATGACAGCTCTTGCCAAACACCACAACACCGTGCCTTGATGACTTGAAAGGGCTTGGTTACGCTGTCCGTTCCTGGAAGGCACGTCGTGATCATCGTGTCAGAGCTCCAAAAGTGCCCAAACCATAAAACCAAAGAGCGCTTTCTCGGAAGCTGCTATCTGCTGCCTATGCTGCTGATGAAAGCAGAAACGAGAACCGGCAAGGAACGGGGCTGAGGAATAAACCAATCTCCACTGTGTGGCCGTCCATATGCCTCATGACAGATTCAGCATATAGCGCCCCAAATGGTCTTCACTGTATACCCTGGTATACCAGATGGTTTAGAGCATGCTTTCGTTGCATGTTGGTGCAGTTCAACTTCAGACGTTGCACTCCCGGACGTGAAGTTAGAACCTGGAACAATAATCTCGGGCAAACAGTCCCCCACCGGGAAACTCGGGCGACTAAGTGGTTTGGCCCCCAACCATGTGGTACTGTCCCGCCCCCATTGTTTCTTTTAGCGCCCCAGGATCAAATCAGCCCACGTGCCTGTCTTTTCTGGTCGCGACTCCTCGTATTCCGCCCGCCCCTTCCCGGTACCCCCGCCTAGTCTACTCATTATTACTATATATATATTATATATATTATATATATATATTATATATATATATATATTATAGAAATATATATTGCTGTTGATGATGATATGAATGTCAATGACTGCTACTGCTACCGCTTCTACGGCTGCAGCTCCACCCCATTTCCAAACTGGATTCCCGTATATATGATGGGTTTGCAAAAATTCTATGAGAAAACTTTACGCAAGCCGTTGATTGCGTGATGCTCTTGCAAGCAAGCTGGCACGGCTTGCATGAGCTGCGAACCCAGTCTCTGACACCAAGCTATCATGCAGAATGGAAGACATGATCGGCATGTGCACCCTCGCGATGTTTCGGTTGCAGCCACTCTTGACTTTCTAGTTGTCACCACGACTGACGCTGCGGCTTTCTAATTGTCACCGCGACTGACGTTGCAGAGGCTTGACGGCGACTGAGTTGAGTCGGAAGATCGACATGGAAAAAAACTCAACCACGAAAACCCATCTCACCTGTTCCTTTGCAAAGACCATGTCTGTGTCGCGGGTTCTGCAAGGTTTCACATGTGTTCTGTTTGTTTTCTGGCAGCATGCCAGGGGGGCACAGTCCCACTCCATTTCCAAACGGAATGCCTATATGACTGGGCAATTCCCACGTGTAGGATCTTCTCTTGCTGCAAGCTGTTGGAATCTTCACGGCAGGCCTGCGGGCCGGCTTAGACAGAAACCGGAGGGGTTGGGGCGGGGGTGCAGCCTCCCCATTGGCAAACACAAGGCAGGATGCCATGGGGCGCGGAGCCCCATTCCAGTTCCAAACAGAAAGCTTGCATGATGGACTGTCATGAGTTCGTGCTTGAGTCGGAAGATCGACATGGACAAAAGCTCAAGCACAGAAGCCTATATAACTTCTGAGATACGAAGTGGAAGCGGGGGCTGCTGGTCCGGACAGGTCGCATATTGCCGTGGTGCGCGAAGACTTGATGGGTCCGCTGCGCTTGACATGCTTGCAGCGACAGCGCAAGGACAAGGTGAAGAAGCAGAAGCAGAGGAAGATGACACAGGCCGAGGTCAGAAAAGTGATTTTAAAGGTACACGCCTTTGGAAGTCCAAGCTCGTGGAGGACAGCAAGAAGAAGGACGGAAACTTCGAGGGCCACTTTGTCACCGAGTCTCTGAGCAAATTACGAGTACTCGTGGGTGTCGACCGGGGTCCGTGTCAGCAACCCATAGAAGCAACACCCAAAGTCAATTTTTCAGGAGTTCGAAAGCTTTTGCTTAGTCAAGGCCCGGAGCAGAGTACCAGAGTCCATGAGAGCTGTAGTACCGAGTTCCGGGTCCTTGAGTGATAGTGTGTCACACTACTTGCTGATATTTCGGGGTGGTGACAAACATGACATGCTTCTGCATGTGTTCCTGCCTGCAAGCGACATGCTTTTGTGTTGTTGTGTTGCTATGATCATGACATCAGTCAGCAACCAGTTCCTTCCACGACGCGTATGGCTCCAGGAAGGCAAAAGCCAGGAAACCCGCCTGGCTTGAACAAGAGTCTGGGGGCTCAGGTCAAAGCCAAGAGTCAAATAGGAAATACTCACGGCAAGAATGCTCTGCTACTGGAGGAACTTTGTGCCGACCAAGTTGGCTGACACCCTCCCACACTGGTTCTGCCCAGAAAGAGAGCGGCACTGCAGAGTCCCATGTCCACAGGGCAGAGAGTCTCTGGACCCATCAGAGCAGAGTCCAGACTCAGCGTTCAGGACAGACCGGCCTGCCACACCAGTCTGGGCCACACCATGCCCGGATCCCCGTTTTCGCCCACAAACTGCCCACAAGAGAGCCAGGCAACAGAAGACACGAATGGTAACCCGGAGGTGCATCTGAGTGTTGCTTCAGCAATTTTGGCTGCTGGCGATCAAGATCTCTCAGCCTCCGACAGAGCAGTGTGCAACCGAGTCCATGTCCAGAAACTACTTGATGGCCCATGCCCCGTTGGCCGGGGCAGGGCAGGTGACTGCTCTGTGTGTGAGGCCGGGTGGAAAGTGGGGGATGTGTTGGCTTTCCGTCGAGTCTTTGATGGCATGGGTGCATCAAGGCGGGCTGCATTCATAAGCAGGTCTTATGAAGACGCCAAAGGTGGTAGCACTCGCTGCAAGTGGATCTTCCTTGACGAACGAGGTTGCGAGTGACGGCTGCTTTCCTTACTGGGGATTTCAACCAGCACAGTTGGAAAGCTTTGCAAGGGCAACTGTTTCGATGGGCGTATCAGCAGTGGAAGGTGGTTACTGAAGCTGGCTTGTCTGTGGACCATTTTTCTTGGAGATGTACCACTCTGCAGCTGAATTTTTTCCCCAAAGGATGACTCACACCACATGGAGAATGTTGACTGGACTGTGCAGCAAGAAGACTTGCAGCTGACTGAAACACCGGATCTGGGCCAAGCTGACAGGGATCTGACACCAATGTTGGGATGGGATCCTGAGAAGTCTGGTTTGGCTACACACAGCCATTTCGTCAGCCTCTGATGCACCTTTGCCAAAGCGATGTGTGCAGCACAAGAAAATCGATATCTGGTGGCCTACGTCGGGAAAACCTTGGTTTGACCCGTAGAGCCAAATCCCGAACATCCATTCTAGCTGATTTCCGGCACGCGTT